GCTCACGATGGGCTGCAGCGCCTTGAGATAATGGTCCAGGGTCTGCTGGAGCGGGGGCACGGGCAGCCGGGGTAGCGAGTCCTGGTGTGTCTTAAAGCGACTGGAAACCGTCATCATGGAGGAGGGCTTGAGGAAGCCCAGGGGCTTCACCTGCAGGCAGCAGAACACCCCATTCATTCTCGCACCGGCTCTGGGAGGCCCTGGCAATCCCAAAACCGAAGTCCTGGGCACTTCTGTGCCCACTCCTGGGGACAGAGACGGCCTCTTGGGTGGTGACTGCCCTGGTTTCCCAGCTCTCCAGCTGTAGGTGTCTCTACCTCTTAGAAGCCAGGAGATGTAAGTAGGGATGGAGGAGGGTGGGGAGTGGCCACTGATCTTGGCAGCACTCAGAGGAACCGAGTCAGGATGAACGGCACCTACTGGGGGTGGCAGAGCTCAGAGGGACCTCTCACTTATTGGATGCACAGGGCCCCACCTTTCTCACCCTGGGGGTGGCAGAGCTCAGAGGGACCTCTCACTTATCGGATGCACAGGGCCCCACCTTTCTCACCCTGGGGGTGGCAGAGCTCAGAGGGACCTCTCACCTCTTGGATGCACAGGGCCCCACCTTTCTCACCCTGGGGGTGGCAGAGCTCAGAGGGACCTCTCACTTATCGGATGCACAGGGCCCCACCTTTCTCACCCTGGGACGATGAGCCAGCCAGCAGTGAGATGACCACTCCCTCCCGGAGGTCCCCACCTCCTTTTCTCCCATCCTTACCAGGTGGAGACATGGGAGGAAAGAAGAGAAAATCAGATAGGGCCAGACGACGACAGTACCTCTGGGTGAGGGCGAGGTCTTGGGCTTTTTCCTGTCTGTGGGGTGGGGACAGGGGTGGCATGGGGGCAGCGCTGTGCCAAGAGAGAGCTGAGTGGCCTGGCAAGGAGGGTGAGAGCTGACAGAGAGAGAGAGTCTGGAGACTCTGGAGGCGGACAGAAAGAGAGACAGGAGGGTCCAAGGCTGCTGGCAGCAGTGGGCAGGCAAGCGGCAGAGGCTCCGTTTCATACCTTCTCTTTCTGCTGCCCGTCCTCCATGGCAGGACTGAGGTTCTGAGCCCTGTCTGTCTGCCTTGGGCTGGATCTCTAAGCCTAACTGTGCTACCAAGTGGGTGAGCAGAACCTAGCAAGAGGCAGCCACTTGCCCGGGCTGGAAAGAAAAGACAAGAGCCAAGATTCAGGGGGAGGCAGAGGGGGCAGCGGCGATGGCTACAGCAGCTGTGGTGGCATCTGGGGTTATGGCTGTCCCAGGAGCAGCTGTTCCACCCTCTTGAGCTTCCAGAAGTGGAGGAATGGGGAGGAGGTGAGAGGGCTGGTGGTGTGCACTGGAGTAGAAGGAAACCTGGAAAACTTTTCCCTTTCTTCCCTGGATGGGCCCAATGCCAAGAAGGCAGGCCAAGAGGTTTTAAAAACGCACCTGTCAGAATCTGCATAGGTGTTTTTGATGAGGGACAACTTGGCTGGAGGACAGAAACTGCTTGGCCGCTGAGGTTAAACTACAACCCTGAATATAGTCCTGAAAATAGGGGTTGGTGCAAAGGAGCAGACACTGGGAAGGGAGTGTAAATGGACATTTCCCTCCAAAACTCTTGGGGCCCTTCTGGGCCACCCTTCCACCAAAGCCTGGTTCTCTTGAGTTGTGGCTCATTCAGCTGGGGGTTACGAGACCTTTGGGCATTAAAAATAAACCAGAGGGCTTCCCTGGTGGCGCAGTGGTTGAGAGTCCGCCTGCCGATGCAGGGGACACGGGCTCGTGTCCCGGTCTGGGAAGATCCCACATGCCACGGAGCAGCTGGGCCCGTGAGCCACGGCCACCGCGCCTGCGCTCCACAACAGGAGAGGCCACAACAGTGAGAGGCCCGCGTTACCGCAAAAAAATAAAATAAAATAAAGCAGGGACTTCCCTGGTGGTGCAGTGGAAAGAACTCCGAGTTCCCAATGCAGGGGACCCGAGTTTGATCCCTGGTCCGGGAACTGGATCCCACGTGCATGCTGCAACTAAAGAGTCCGAGTGCCGCGACTAAGACCCAGTGCAGACAAATAAATAAATAAATAACCCAAAACAGAGAATGCTGGCTTTGAGATTGGACTAGATTTGAGTCCAGGGGATGCTGGCCAAGTCTCCCCTTGCCTCAGTTTTCCTGGCAGTAAAGTGATCAGGCCATTTAGCAAGTCCTAGAATATGACCCAGAGACCATCTGTGGAATGGGAACAGAGCTCAGGTGGCAGTGGCAAGGATGAGATGGAGCTCTGAGGTCCTGGAAAATCTGGAAAAGCCTCTGGGCAGGTGCATGGGTACCTCAGCCCTCTGGGCCTGGCAGTGTCTGAATACCCTTCTTGGCCCAGACAGAGGGAGATACAAACAGAGATATACTTGGAGTAGAGAGGAAAGGAATCCAAGTCAGGATAGCAGCACTACCTGCTCCAAGCTGCCCCCGGGGGAAGATTGGGGGTAGGGGTGGAGGCATGGGGGTGTGCAGTTGTTAATCAAGTTGGGCGAGTGACTGGTGGAGAGGGAGGGCATGGGGCTACCACCTGCTGCCTTCTGCCAATTCTGAGGACTTTCTGAGCAGCCCAGCTTGATGCCCTCACTGAAGTGTCTCTGGCCACACACAATACCCCAAGGGCCATTTGATAAGCCCGGGGAAGGTGACCAGCTGGATGGGGTTGGAGACGTGGCTCTGGCCAGGGAAGAAATGGCTCAGGCTGAGCGTGCGACAGGTGTGTGAGGCAGAGAATAACCGTGAGGAGACACTCCTGGTTTCTCCGCTCCTTGGCTCCGGGCCTAAGGTGGAGGTGCTGCCCGAAGCCAGGGTCCTTACTGTGTCTGCCGGGTCTTTGGAATTTGGCGCCACAGAGTGTGGCTTCTATCTAGCCTCTGACCTTAAAGCCTCAGTCTCCCCCTCTGACAAGCGGAGTTAGCCCACCTGCCGACCCCGGCCCAGCAGCTGCTGGTGAGGCTGGACTGCAGGCACCGGGCCGCGGCGCCTTGACGGCCGGTTTTCCCACTCGGGCGTAGCTGCGCTGCTGGCCCGGTCTGCGGCCCGCCCGCCCGGTCCAGGGCCCGCTAGGCCGGCTTCCCGGCCGCACTCACCACGGTCCTGGCAGCGAAGGCCAACATCTCTACGGCCCGCCCGCGGACACACGGTCCGCTCCGTCCCCCGCGCTGGGCAAAGTCCGCGCCGCCGCCGTGGATGGGTTCCCGCTAGAGCCTCCGGGCCAAGGTCGTCGAGTCACTGCCGCCAGCCGGTAGAGGCGGCCCCGCGCCCACCCACCGGGCCGGGCAGGCGGCCCGCGGTAGGCGGACTCCTGGGGCGCGGCCTCGGGCCAGTTGCTGGCCCCGGCGGCCAGCCGAGAGCGTGGGGCGGGGCCTGGGGCGGGACCAGGGCGCAGTCAGCGGTTGGGGACCCCGCGAGGTGGTGGAGCACCGGAAGGGGAGCAAGGCGGAGGCTGCCGTCCAGCTCGCCCTCTCCCACCTCCATAAGCCGTCCAAACTGTTGGAGGCAGTGGTGTGCACCCCTCTCAGTCCTTTTGGTGCCCTTGAGCGCTGCTCTCAGAGTGGTGGGAAAACACAACCATGTTGACAAGGGAATGTCTTCTACTAGTCCTAGGGATAGCGTCAGAGCCACGCTACTAGATGACAGGTGGGGACCGCCCAGCAAAAGCATGGCTGCCGCGCTCCCAGGGCCCTCCCAGCAGGCGGTTGGCGAGTCGCGCGGCGAGCCGGCCGTTGGTGCGCATGCTCTCCGGCGCCCCGCACCAACATGTCCACCGCCTCCGGGTGAGCGCGGCCGCCGCGAGTCGGCCGTTGCTGGGCATGCTCCCTGAGTGCCCCGCACCAATATGGCGGGCGTCCTCGCTGGGGTGACTCTAATTCTCGGTTTTCGGCTCTAGCCGGCCGGTGCTCATTTCTCTTCGGAAAGCTCTGAGCGCGTGGTGGGGCCGGGGAAAGGCAGGGTGGGTGCGGGGGTGAAAGGTGAGAGGGGACTGCAGGCATCCAGGCCGGCTCCTGGCGGCAGGAAGATGGCTGAGGGCGAGCGGCGGTCGCAGCCAGGTAGGGCGGAGGGGCCGCGGTGGAGTGGGGGGTCGGGGGCGGTGCCAGGCGTGGGGGCGGGGACGGGGTGGGGTGTGTGGGGTGCGGTGTGTGGGTTGCTCAGCGAGGGGAGGAGGGTCGGGAGGTGGAGGAACAAACGCTCTTGGGCCCCGAGGGAGAAGTGCTGGGGGATCTGGAGGGAGGGTAGGATCCCGGGACTGCAAAAGGGCGATGGGTGGGGCGTAACGCCAGGACTTGGGGAGCCTGAGTTGCCCGAGGGTCGGGCGGGCAGCCCCGTGGCCCGAAGGGGAGGCCTTTTCCACACCTGGGCTGCTCCTGCTAAAGTCAGCTCTTGACCTGGCGGGGAAGCAGGCAGGGATGGCGGCTGCTGTCTTCATTAGACTCTGCACTGGGGCTGGGGGCTGGTGCTCCGTGGGGCCTGCCTCGACCCCTCGGCCCTGACTCCCCCTCATCACCTGCTCTCTTTTCCCCTTGGAGACCGGGCTCCGGAGTTTCAGTGGCTAAGAAGTTATCGAGGGAAACTGCCCTTGGTCCTCTAAACCACTGATTTAAAAACGCTGGTTGTGCAAAGAGACGACTTTCTTTCTGGTATCACCATCTGTAACTTTTATTTACACTGTGCATCTCAAATAACTGGGATGGAGGTGCGAGGGACTTAGACCGGTAACGTGGGGAAATGGAAGGGTGTTTGCTGACCCCTCCCCGTCCCCTCCCTTGAGCCAAGAAGGACTTTTAAAATTCTGTCAAAGGTGCAAATAGGTTGGCTAAACAGCTATTTCAAAACAGCTAATGTTTTGAAACCATTCACTGTTCCTTCTACCTTGTCTCCCCTTTTATGACCTCTGGGAAGGTCTCAGGAGGGAGAAACTTTGAAGATCAAAAGAGGCATCCCCTCCACTCCCTACCCCGCCACAAAATTTCAACAACAACAGCAAAAAAAAAACAAACCCCAAAGAGCTGGGTATGGTCTGTTAAGGCATTTGAAACCTGACATTTATTTTGTTTGGTACAAAACTTCTGTGCATGTGCCCTTAGGAGTTCCGGTAATGACATCAGGATATATAAGACAACCAGAATTATCAGTGAGATGAATGTGTCTGTGAAGATGGGCGGTGGGAGGTGTGGGGGGAGAACCTGTGCACTGAGACCAAGGAAGGCTCAGGGAGGTTATCTATGGCTGAGAAGATTCGGGTTCCCAGGAGGTGTTCCTTCTTTGAAGTTTGAAACAAGGGATGTTTAGGAGCAGTGGAAAGAACTGCTTAACTCAGACAGTGTAGTGATGAAAACCTTGGATTCTGGAGTTACATAGACCTGGCTCTACCTGGCACGCTGCGGCCTCTGTGAGCCTGTTTTCTTATCTCTCAAAATGGGGCTACTGTAGCTTCCTCACCGAGCTGGTAGCGTGTGTTCCGTCGATGGTGTGGGCAAATCATGGGTCGTGGGGGTAATCGGCAAATCATGGGTCGTGGGGGTAATCAGTAAATCTGGATTGCTGTTATCCTTTTCAAAGATGGTACAGGTTAAACATGTAGACAGGTTCCCAAGTCGTAGGTGATAACATATTATACCCTGTGGGATTTTTTAGGAACACCTCTAAAACTCTGGAGGTTTCCATCTTATACTGAGGAGTTGCAGGGGATCCAGCTGTCCCGTGGCACCTTTGTCAGAGGCAGAATAATCTGAGGCTAGAGAGGCTGTGGGTCTGACCTCACTGATCACAGTCTCGAGTTTGAAGTCTTGTCTTTTTGATTTGGGATTGCATGTTCTGGCGAATTGTGTGTGTGTGTGTGTGTGTGTGTGTGTGTGTGTTTCATCAGTGATTGGTCGCAAAACTTCCAAGTAGCCTTTCCTCTGGGAACAGGGCCCAGCCCTGTGAAATAATGTGGGGAAGGCTAGTCCCTTTCGGGGAACAGTTCTTGCAAATTTAGAAAAGGGCTCTGTTCCCAAAGATCATTTGCAAATGGATAATTTGGAATGTAGAACACATTTTCCATAAAAACAATGCGGTTAGGTCACCAGCCTGACCTACAAAGCTTTTAATTTAGCATCTTACTTGAAGTAGCAATTTATTAATAGTATGGTCGTCAATTGAAGGTTCTGGGAACAGGACTTGCAGAACAGGTGGGGGGAGGAAGAGAGTTTCCGGTCTGGTTTTTGGGGCCCTGGGTTGAATTTGAATTAGGCAGAGGTTTGCCTTGGTCTTATCCCAGATTCTCTGTCTCCTTAGGTCTCCAGGTCCCCTGGCACTTTTCCTTTCCTCGGGGCCTCTCGAGGCAGGCTCTAGTCCCCCAAAGGTCATGTGTTCTAGAACTTACTTAGGTCTTTGTTCCCTTTTCTCCATGCAGCTGATGTGCGCTAGGTTTTAGGAGGACAGCAATGGAACAGATTTATACTACATTGTGAGTGACTGATAGTCCTTTACACTTCTTGGGGAGTTTTCATTTTCATTTATTTACTTTTTAAAAATAAATTTAGTTTTAAAACATTTTATTTATTTTTGGTTACGTTGGGTCTTCGTTGCTGCGCACGGGCTTTCTCTAGTTGCGGCGAGCGGGGGCTACTCTTTGTTGTGGTGCATGGGCTTCTCATTGCGGTGGCTTCTCTTTGTTGTGGAGCACGGACTCTAGGCACGTGGGCTCAGTAGTTGTGGCTCACGGGTGCTAGAGCGCAGGCTCAGTAGTTGTGGCACATGGGCTTAGTTGCTCCGTGGCATGTGGGATCTTCCTGGACCAGGGCTTGAACCCGTGTCCCCCGCACTGGCAGGCAGATCCTTAACCCCAGCGCCACCAGGGGAGCCCTATTTACTTTTTAAAAAGTTATTTTTATTTTTTGAGAGTTTTCATTTTTAAAGGAAGGGGCTTACTAATCTGACAAATCTCCAAGAGTAGATTCAGGCCCACAACTCCCAACCTGTAACCTTTGGGACTAGGTGTATTTTGGAATTCAGAGTTTTTCAGATTTCAGAAAGCAGTGTCCCATTATCAAATAAAAAGATTTATGCAGCAAAACATAAATTTCAGCTAAATGGGATACACAAACTACCCTGTGTTTCCTTTCCCTCAGCTTCTGAAAGTACAGAAACTCTATTTAAAATAGTTTATTTCTGACCACAAAAGCACTACAATGTCAGTTTTTAATAGTAGTATGTAGGACTTTCCTGGTGGTGCAGTGGTTGAGAGTCCACCTGCCGATGCAGGGGACACGGGTTTGTGCCCCGGTCCGGGAAGATCCCACATGCCGCGGAGCGGCTGGGCCTGTGAACCATGGCCGCTGAGCCTGTGCATCCGGAGCCTGTGCTCCGCAACGGGAGAGGCAGCAGTAGTGAGGGGCCCGCGTACCGCAAAAAAAAAAAAAAAAAAAAAAAAAGTAATATGTAGCTTAGAAAGTATATAAATCCTACCTCCTAGAGATGACAGCTATTAACTTTGGTGTTTAATCCTTTAGATTTTTCCAATGCATAAGCTAATAGGTATATGTGTTATTCATATTAGTATGTAAATTTTTCGTTTACAAAAGTAAGATTATATTGTATATAATATACTGCAGTTTTGTTTCTTCATTTATTAATATTTAGGCTGTTTTTCTCATGTCAGTAATTTAGATTTTGTTCTTTTCAAAAGCTAGGAAGATTTCCATCATACGGGCATATCATTATTAATCCATCACCTTATTGATCGATATTTGGGTTGTTTCTAATTTTTTTCGATGCAGTAAGCACTTTTATATACATCTTTGTCTATTTCTGTGGGCACATCTGTAGGGTTGATTCCTCCTGTTGGCTCAGTGGGTGTAGTGTGCAGTTTTTACTTCAAAAGGCAGTGCTGAGTTGCCCCCTCAGCAGATTCTACCATCTAAGACTCCCACCAACAGTGCAGGAGAGTTCCTGTTTCCCCTTCCCCAATCAGTGCCAGATGTTTTTAATCTGCCAACCTGATTTAGAAAAGCAGTCTCATCTAATTTACATCTCTTTGCTTATTCGGGATGTTGGTAATTTTTTTCAAATGTTTCTTGGCCTTTTTTTTTTTTCCCCTTCTTCTTCTTTGAGTTGCCTGTTTATGTCTAAAAGGTCAACTTGGCTTTATTCTTCTAACCTTTCTGCCTGCTTGGGAAGCAGGAGGAGAGGGCATGGCAGATCCACAGGACGTATCAGTTGTTGAGGGGGTTGCCAGGATTGCCCAGCTCCTCGCAGAGTGAGGAAAGGCAGGAAGCCAGTGGGTTTGGCTTAACAAGCCAATACTTTATCCTGGGAGTACGTGTTTGGTTTATGCTAGGGCTTGCGCGTTGGAGCCTTGGTTTAAAAGTGTGTGTGTGTGTGTGTGTGTGTGGTGTGTGTGTGTGGTGTGTGTGTGTGTGTGTGTGTTGGGAGGGAAGGATTCTATTTATCTGATTGCTTTTTCATTTTCTTTGTCAAGGTTCTTCGGAGGATATCCCTCCAGCCACTCAGAACTTCATCATTCCAAAAAAAGAGATCCACACTGTTCCAGACATGGGCAAATGGAAGCGTTCTCAGGTACCAATGGTGTCTGCACTGTAGGGTCAGAACTGGATGAGAAACTTGGGCTTTTTCAAAGACAGTGGTTTTCTAGGCCTGAGTGGGGCTGTGAGCTCCTGAC